CAAGTAGTATCCAGTTCTTCATATATACACACACACATCGATTTCAAACAGATGGCATTGCAATGGTATCGGTCCGTACTGCACAGCCAGGTGTCGGGTATCGGCATCGGGGCCAAAAAAATGGCATCTCCGCAACACTAGTTAAAGGCAACACACATGGATGTGTTTGGAACATTAAAGCAGTTCCAAATAACTTTTAGTTTTAATCAATATTTTAATTTATTTTTGGCTCCGCCCAGTGGATGAAAGCTGTATAGAATCTCATACTCTTTATATTTTTTGTATTTTGTAGAATCCAGTAAATGTCTTTCAGTATGATGATGTTTGAAGAATATTTTTAACAAGTATAACAGTTTCAAAGTGTCTTAGAAAGCACAATGAACTCTGAATTTGTTCATTGTTTGAACTTCCTTCTGGCAAAGGCGACTAATAAATGAAACTTTATCTCTGTAGGGAACATCATCGGCTCAGGGATCTTCATCTCGCCTAAAGGAGTGCTGGAGCATGCAGGCTCTGTGGGACTGTCACTCATCGTCTGGGTTTGTGGAGGAGGGATCTGTGCTCTCGGCTCATTGTGTTACGCTGAACTGGGCGTCACAATCCCAAAATCTGGAGGAGACTATTCTTATGTGACGGAGATCTTTGGAGGGCTTGTAGGGTAAGTAAAAGGTGCTGATCAGGGTGGCCATCGCTTGAATTTGAACGACTCCGATAGGCCTGAAAAAATTAATTGGATTAATTGATTATTGAGTAATTGTCAACTAATTTAGAAATCAGTTAATTGGTAACTGGAGTATAGAGACTCTAAAACATGCCTTTAGCTGACAGATTAAACCACTTAGAGCATTAACTATACCAAAATTATTTTTAAAAATAATATAGCATTTTGAATTTAAGATAGAAAAAAAAATACGTTTTTCGTTTGTCTATATGCTCTAATCAGAACTACTCAAGTGGAAAAGTTTTAGTTGCACCCGATTTAATTCTGTAGAAAATCTTAAAGGAATCTTTTGCTATCCGATTAATTGAAAAAATACAGTTTAATTGAATATAGCAAAATATAGTTGCCACCTTTAGATTTTGGCTCCTTGTTTTGATTTATACAATTCTCAGTTCCATTTCTTTTTAGAGAAATTGTCATAAAAGTTAACATATTTTAACCGAGATAGATGAACTTCTTGATTAATAAAAATTTTATCATTTAACTTTTTATAAACTTACTGTGAATTATCAATGTTATTTTTATAGGACTTATAGATATTCCCTGCAATATATACCCTTTAAACTTTTATATAAAACTTCTGAATTGTCTTTTCACAGCGTTTCGCTTCATGGACTTTTACTTTCAAAAGCCTCAAACATTTATACATATCAAGTATGTGAAACACGTATTTAATAAATTTACTGTCCTGATTTTTTAGAGGCAGAGTGTTGTTTTTGGAAAAAGCAGCACAAAGGTGTTTTGCTAAGGAAGGTTTCACTACAGAATTGATTTTGTGTTGCTCAGTGCCTCAACTATGTGTGATTTACTTTTTTTGACAAAGGGATAAACGGGATTTGGTACGAAGTTCAGTTAGTGAGTCTCAGAAACAGATTCCAAGTGGAAATAAACAATGAATAAAGTTTTTCTTAAAATTGTTTATACGTCTGGTAGCTTTAGATTAAGGAGTTATTTTATTCTATTAGGAACTCAAAAGGTATGGAGGACCAACCCTGCCATATTTAAAAATAAATACAGAAATGAATAAATGCTCAATAAATATATAAGCATACAATTAATTGCCAACAAAAATACAATAAACAAATAAATGTAAGTAGAAATTAAATTATACAGTGAGACATAAATGTATATAACTCTTTTAATTAGCTTCTTTATTTGCCTTTGTATTATTTACCTTATTTATTTTTTGGTCCTTTATTATTTTCTCATTTCTGCCTTCTTATATTTATTTGTTTATTGTATTTTTGTTGCCAATTAATTGTATGCTTATATATTTATTGAGCATTTATCTATTTCTGTGTTTATTTTTAAATATGGCAGAGTTGGTCCTCCATAAAAAGAAACCAGACGGGCATCTGTTAAAGTCAAATGATGCAAAAGCGATTATGCATCCAAATGCAGGGGGAGCCTAACTTGGGGAAACACCAGTGAACACTTTAAAGATGGGGCTCTCATCCTAAATTCAGAGGTTTTTAATCATGAATCCCCATCCTTAAAATTATATAATCCATTTTCAAGTGCTGGTAGAAAACTGACCATGTCTTTAATTACTCATGGGCCATACTTACAAATTCAAAAGGTTACCAAGTATTAAAACTAGGCATAAAAAATAATTTAAAGTTGAACGATTCTGGCAGGATTAAAAAGTTAGAACCGGTTTCTATTGATCCTTTGTTCCCAACCCTGGTTTTCACTCTAAATTATATGAGTTTATCAAAGTTTGTAAATCGACTCAAAGGCCAATAGAACACCATGTTGACTTAATGTCTCATTAGCATAATGCTTTACACTTTTAATGTAAAAAGTGAGAATAGCAAAGTAGAGAACATGACCTTGGTGGACGGAGTACTCAACAGTAGTACTTGAGTAAAAGTATTGATACTCATAGTCAAATCTTACTTAACTACAAGTAAAAGTTAAACAGTCAAAATTCTAATCAGGTTAAAGTATTGAAGTACTTAATTTTGAAAATACTTATGTATTCAAAAGTACCTGCATATAAAGTATTTAGGCATTTGAAAATGCAAATTATATTTTTTTATATCAGTACATTTCTGTATAATTTTCAGCATAATTTTAAAGAACCTTTCAACTTTTAACAAATAACGCCTTAACAAAATGTAATGACTAAAAACAGTGGTGTCCAAACAGCACAGCAGCACTCGGTTAATTTAACCAGCAGCCACTTCACTATATGTTATAGTAAAAGAAAGGAGACGGGTTGGTTAAAATAAATTAGAGATGCCACTAAAAACATACAGAGCTTTTTCTGCTAAAATGACAACAGATAAGAAGTTTATACAAGTTGGTAATAAAATGCAAGAAGCTTGAAAAAACTTGAGTTTAAATGTTTTTCTTCTTTACTATAAAATCTTGGCTTTTTAGAGACCATGACTCCCAGTTACAGGTTAAAATTAACATGTTTTCTTATAGAACAGACAGAATCAGACTGCAGCGCTTCTATATATTTTTTTTCTGGCATCTTTATATTAGTAAATAGATACATAAATATTTTTAAACCGATAACAGAGAGAAATATAAATCTGTGTATTATGGTTCTGAACAATAGAAAAGCATTTATTAAATAAAATCTTTGAGCTCATTTTTGGAAAATACAAAAACCTAATGAAAGAATTCGGGTCGATTAACTATAGGTCCATCAGCCTCCACCTGAGTTTTCCCACCAACTTCGTCACAAAGTTACACCCTTGTATTGAACCTGTGAAACATGGCTTTCTAAAGCTTTGGCCAGAATCCTACATTTAAATGTATTGAAAATGAGTGAACCAAAATGGTCCACTTGTAAAATTCCTAGCATGTAAAAAATTTTAATTATATGACCCTTAGTTTTGTAGTGCTGTGCTTGGCCTTTATTCTAATGGCTGACTGGTTAGGCCCTAATGTACGGAAGAGGATTAGGGCCACTGAAGAAGAAAAAAAAAATAATTAACTGATTTTTTTTTTTTTTATTTTATTTCAGTTTAAAATGGGGAAAAAAAAGTCAGAATTCTGACTTTAATCTCAGAATTCTGACTTTAATCTCAGAATTCGGACTTTAATCTCAGAATTCGGACTTTAATCTCAGAATTCGGACTTTAATCTCAGAATTCGGACTTTAATCTCAGAATTCGGACTTGTTT